CTAATATTCAGCAATAAAATATTCTTGAGTCCATTGTGTCGGAAATTAACAGGCCTGATGTAAATACAGTTCAGTTATTTCTTTACTACAAATGTTCAAAGCAAATTTTCCATATATAGAATAAGCCATTCTCTAGGTCTATTACTCTAGGTCTTAGAGTAAGTACTAGACCAAGGACCAATTTACTTTTTCTTTGAAAAATTTACTGGGTGATTGGAAATTTGCTTAGTCCGCAAATTTTCTGCAGCACGGGTATTTATTTATTTTTTTTTTATCAAACTCAACAAAAGTATTTTTATAGGCAATTGAATTTTTTCTTTAAACAGACAAAATAGTTTTAAGTGCCACATTTTAATTTTAAATTAACTATCTTGGATCAAATACATCAGGTTTCACTACCAATTATTGTTATACATAAAAATATAGAGCTTTAGAGTCATTAACTAATTATTTTTGATTGCTAGTAAGCTGGGATTCTTGTTGTTCACATTAAAACCAAATATTAATTTTGCATATCATTATTGGTAATAGTAAGCAGCTTTTTTGTGTACATGGTGATTGAATGTCCCCTATGGAGACCCTATGGGAGATGGTCCATATGGAGTAAGTTGAAAATATTAAAGGTAAGCATGGGTTGATATGTAGACCCGACATCAAATTAAAGTTCTTCTTGAACTAAAAACAATGCCCCAAACCAGACCTCAAATGGACAATAGAGCCAAAAATGACAGCTGTTCAAAAATTCATTGAATTTGCAATGCTATACGCTACCTCCTCAGGTCTGTCCCGCTACAAAAGGAAGAAAATAATAAACGTAAACATAGGTGATATACACAATGCATATCAATTTGAAGGTCTTTATTATTAGAATACAATGCCGTAAATTTGAGCTCAAAAGAACAACTAAGTAAAACATGCAGCAGTTTATATAAAAAAATTACAGATTTAAGAAATATTTGAAGGGCTCTCATTTTTTACTTGTTTGTCCATTTGAGATCCAACTTGCAGCATTGTTTTTAGTTTAACAAGGTCTTTAATTTGATGTATGCTTACCTTTAAGATTTTCAACTTACTCCCTATGTCCCATATAGGAGACATCCGATCATCATGAACACCTAAAAGTAGCTTACTATTACCAATAAAGATACAGGGTGAATAAAAAGTCAAGACCCCCCCTCTAATATTTTTCCAAGTAAATATACAGAGATATCCTTTTGGTGGTCGAGCAATCTTAGCAGGAAGTTTCATTTTATCATTTTGAAATTTTTGAGTGTCCCCCCAAAAGGGGGGATTTGGGGGGCAACTCAAATATTTTAAATGTAAACCCCCTTCAAGTGACAACTCATTTTGAAGTGTTTACAAAAACTAACAATTTTACCATTGATTTTCCACAACATTTGACGGGCTACCATTTTGAATAGAGAAGAGATATCGACCTCTAGTTTTCACCATTGTAATATTTCATTTCATTTCATTCATTATTTAGTATTAAGTTTTTTTTTATGTTAACTTTTATTCATACACCTAATAATCACTCCTCAGAAAGGCTGCTCTAATATTCATTTTCCTAATTTATATAATTTCATTAATATGTTCAATTAATCATTAATAATATTCATTCCATAGCCTATATTTTTTTTTTACAAAGCCCGCAACCTAATTATTTATTAAATATGTAAGAGAATTGCAATACATCAAAATTTCTTATAATATCATTTCAAAATTAGTCCTTAAGGAATCAAAATTTAAGAAGCAGTGAAAGTGATCCCATGTGTTCAACAATGAATGATGTGAACAGTGAGATTGGAAGAGAAGGAAGCCATGGAGAAGTTGAAATTGTTAGAAGAAGGAGTCAAAATTTTACCTAAATCAAATCCATTCATCAAGAAGACCAGTTTCAAGTTATATCACAGTAGCCTAAACCTCAAGAGGACTCATCTCAATCATTATCTTCAAAATTAAGTATAACCTTTTCTTTAAACTCTTTTAAATTTTGTGCTAATTGGACTTACCTTTTGGACAACACCAAAATTAGATTTTTCATTGTTGGGATTTATAAGTTTAACACATTAATTAGGCCTATTTGGACACTATTAAATTTATTAATTATTATCATTCAAGCCAGCACGACACCCTACCCTGAGATATATCACATCTAAATTATTTGAACCTTCAAGTTATTATTCAAATCTATCTTTTATTTCAATTTAATTTCAACCCCATACACCATTGTCAATCCTTTCATTGTAACGTCAAGCCTTTTCTCATTGCATGTTAATTGTTCATTTGTTTAAATAAAACACCTTTTGTAATCCATATCTTTGTTAACTTATTAACTTTAAACATTTATAGAATAGGCCTAGCCTAAATGAATATTGTAAGGTGAGTTTACACCATTCTTTAAGTTTTTGTAAACACTTCAAAATGAGGTGTCACTTGAAGGGGGTTTACGTTTAAAATATTTGAGTTGCCCCCCAAATCCCCCCTTTTGGGGGACATTTAAAAATTTTAAAATGATAAAATGAAACTTCCTGCTAAGATTGCTCGTCCACCAAAAGGATATCTCTGTATATTTACTTGGAAAAATATTAGAGGGGGTCTTGACTTTTTCTTCACCCTGTATACCAAATTTAGTTGTGATCTTTTCGTTTTAAAGTTATGAAGTCGTCCTCAGACTTAATTGTCACCCTGTATAGTTTTTTGCATGGGCAAACCAAAACTAAATTCAAATTGTAATAGTTTCAAAATAAAAATAATAAAATTTGTCACAGTGAAATTTGTCTCTCAACCGTTAATTTTTGTTTCTGCCAAAGAACATTGTTAGTACATAGTAGTAATTGAGAATTTGTAAATAAATAAACCGGATTTACAGCAATAACTCTCTAAATCATTAGACAAAAAATAATCTAATAATTATTGTAAACTATGTAGATTTAAAAAATCCTAAACTGAACGTCACACTTAGTTTAAATATCAACATAGGGTGCAAGACCAAAATTAATTTGTTATTATGAAAATCCCAAAAATAAATCTTGGATTTGTAAAGAGGACATTAATTAGTTTCTATTAAATGTGCCGCTTTCACCAAATAAAAGTTGAGTCTTTCTTTCCCATAAAGAATAAAAAATGTATCAATATTACTAGTACGAAGAAATAAATGTAGTAAAACAACTCAATTAAAAGTATGGTAACTTGAAAATATCAGTAAAAATAGAGTATATAGTAGTAATTTAATAAAAATGCACTTTCTGGAGGATAACAAATCTGAGTCAATTTAAAAAAACTAAGACATAGTCTCAATTACTATCTGTTTTCGACAAAGAATTCATTTTAAAATAATAAACCTTTTCATGTATTGACTATTTTTGCATATGGGTCAGAATCTCTTTGTTGAAAAGCATTACTTTTAATACCACAACGATACTCCAGAAATACAGTTTAAATGTAAATTAATTTAAAAACCTCCATTTCAAACAAGATTTTTGGATTTGATGCCTTTAACCTATTTATAAATGTTTCTTGGGTTGGTAACATAAATATTTTACTTATTGGTATTCATGTTTTATGAAGCCCACAAACAATCTTTCCCTTTGTAAAGTGTTTCGCCAAGGAATAATAGTTACAAACAATACAAGATACAACTGGATAGCTGCCTTCACCTTACTGGGGTAATGCTCATCACAGGATGTAAAATTAAAAACCGTTAAAAAACACTCTGTTTTCTTAGTCTACTAAAGAACTATTAAACTCAATTTTTTAGTTGACCTTGGCCATTAGTTTTTATTACACTTGACTCTGAAATAGTTTTATGATTCATTTAGAAGGATGCCCATGTAAATGAAACAACCTAATCTACAGATATCACAGGAAACAAGAAGAGAGAACAGTATGATTGTAAATGTTTACTTGTTCACCAACATGACTTAGCAAAGCACATAAAAAAGGCACAAGTCCGATATAAATCTTAGGGTTACAATCAAATCCCCAAGATCCATACAGATTACAATGACAATGATGATGACAGTTGTTGCCGATTAACACAAGACCGATTGTTTGGCAATTTAACCAAAGGAAAAGAACATGAGAATGGAAGATAATGATTTTGGAAGATTTTTGAAGAACACATGACAAAAGTTTTATTTGGAAGACTTGTCAAATTTTAAAAGTTTTGTTTAGAAAATTTAAGTTATGATTACATCAAATGGTCTTACATATGTGTAAAATTTAAAATTACTCTAACAGAAAAAGACATTTTTAAATTTATTAAATACCTAATCAGAATATACAAATTTCTTGAATCTAACGCAGCATTTAAACACCAAAGTGCCATTACCAATAAGTATTACAAATAAACTAAGAGCCTCAGACCTAATAAGTGAATTTTTTTTTTATTTTTTGCTTGCTTTTTAATATTCAGATGTACAAATTTGTAGTAATGGACAAGACCCGAAACTTTGAGATTTTTTAATGATTTTTTATTTCGAAGCTTTGGGGGAGATTGAAACACTAACAAGATATTTTAAAAACAAAATTTTAATTAAACATTTTAAAAAACTTTGCGAAGGCGTTTATATTTAATTATTTATTCTTTACATGGAAATATTTCTTCAATTGGTTTAGTTTTTTTTTTTTTTTTTTTTACATAGCAAATGATGTAATGATGTTTTGTTAGTGTAAGCGTGAGACATGTTTTGCTACTGTAAACATAGCCAAAATAAGTCACTCCAAAATCATTTTAAAAATAACACAAGACTTAAAAATTTGGATTGTTACAATTTAGAATATTAATACTGTATTATCGATTAACTTGTATTGTAATGCTTAACGGTCATGTTATATTTCAATAGGTGGTTTTAATATATTTGCAATATGATTATGTTCAAAATGAATAGTTTAAATTATTTATTATATCTGTAAATGAAAAACTGATGTTCCTTGGTGAACATTTAAGCAACACTAAAAATCTTTATTTATTTACAAATTGGAATAGAAGCATATTTTTTGTAATCATCTGTTTAAAGAAAGACAAAGTTCAATATAATTAAACCTTTAACTAACATAACATTTTATGAATATGATTAGATTTTCATATTTTCTGACCCCCAGAGCTTGTGGCTTTGGTGCCCAAGGTCCTGGGTTCTAATCCCGCCAATAACTAATGGACTTTATTTATGTAATAGTGCCGCAACTAGAACTAGCGTCCTAGGATATGATGGTGGGACACTAAAAAAATAATAATTTTGCAATATTGTAACAAATTTTGTAAGGTTTAATAAATTTTTAGGGTATTTTCTTTTTAATAATTATTTAGTTTATCTTTTTATTTAAGTAGGCAAAAAAGGCACTTTTTAGGTCGTTGACTTTAGAACTAACAGGTGCAATTGTATTTTACAGTTACATAATTCACGTAGATATCACATCCATCTAACTATGAGAAAAAGACCAACTACAATTCCCTAAGAACTTACTCAATTTAAGTATGGACTTCTAAAAAAACACGCCCTGCGTCTCAAGATAGTTCTATCAAGATTGAAGAAGAGAGGCAAAAATTTAACTACATAAATACTAAACATTAATCAATTCAAAATTGGTGTAACACTGGTTCAAATGACACAAAACCAATTTCTAATTCATGAAAGAGAGTAAAGAGACCTTTGACTCTTTGTAAGTTTATGGTACAACTACATCATGCCATGGAATGATTCAATAAATAGAATTTTAAAATAACAGGAAATGGTGATGTTAATAGCTAAGAAACTATGAGCACCATTTCAATAAGTTAAGATAGCAAATGTAAAAAAATGGTAACCACAACTAACTATTTTACGCAAATAGAAAAATCCTACACAATTTCAGCACTAAAATGTTTAGTTTAAACCATATTTTTTTATTCATCTATGTCTACATTGAACTTTTAAATAATTGGAAATTTAAACTTTCTAAGTAAGTATTATAAAGTTTGATTAAATTGCATTAAATAAAATCAAACGTATCAATAACAATAAAATTAACACTTTTGTATTCCGTTTAAAGATATGTAACTGTAAAAATAAATAACAAAATATTAAATATAAACTTATATCTAAAAAGTCTACATTGTAACAAGAAATAATATAAATTAAATAAAGAATTATTGTACAACAGTATAAAATTTGTGTTTTTTTTACATCATTATTAGATTTAGCATTAATTAAATATATGAAATAAAATTAGAAAAAACTTTAAAAAATCATACAATCTAGAAAACACTGATACAAATAACAAGTTTTAAGACAATAATTTCCTTCATCCAATAGGAAGAATCTGCACAAGCATGGATACAACAATGATTATCCTCATTTACAGGACAAAGACACACAAGTATAAAAAGTAAAAATCATGCATTCCATGAACTATATATGATTGTGCGTCTTGTAAGTTGTAAATGCACAACACAACTTTTAGGCTCAAAACTACTACTATTTAAGGTCAATAACTTGTTGTGATCTACCAAATTTTGTGAATAATAAACACAATGCCATATTTTATTATTTAACTGCATTATCTATTTTAAGATTCATATAAGGTAACAAAAAACATATTTTAAAAGCTGTATTTATTTACAAACAAAAAGGAGTAATTTTTGTGCCTTTTGTATAATGATTGTTTTACACCCAAAGCCAAAAATTGGCTTAGCATTACTTGAGGCACTGACAACAATTATATAGGGAAAAGATACTTTTTTACATATTTAGTTGAGTGAATAATTGAAATAAAAATGTAAGTAGGTATGAATAAAAACCAATTACTAACACATTTTTGAATGTATATTGATAGCTTTAAAGTACACCTTAAGGGGCACCCTGTCAATGGACCTCAAGAATATATCCTCAAGAAAATAGAATCTTGAAATAGTGAACTCTTGCCATTTCCAGCCAATAAACCCTGAGAAATAACAATTAAAAACATACACATTAGCATCATCCACAACAATAACAAAACATACACAGAACATACACAAAATTAAAAGTAACCTTAAAATACTATATACAATATTGTATCAAATATTTAATCTTTGTTTCATTAGCATTCTACAGGACCAAAATGTTCCCAAAAGGCCCCAACTGAGTAGTCATCACTACTTTATTCTAGCTTTAAAAACAATAATTTGTTGACTAATTTTATTTCGTCAGCCATTGGATTTGTTTGCACTCCATTAAGTTTTTGAGTATTTTTCATCTACTTCATAAGATATTTTAATTAAAAATTGTTAGTAAGATGAAAATGATTGAACTGTTTGATGGGATGAGGTCGGTGAGGATACAACAAATCATCCACCATTAATAAGCTATCTACAGTCCCATGTTCTTTGAATACCATATTTGTTGTACACATTTGTTGGCCACATGTAGCTGGCCAGTACTAGCTTATTACTGTGATCATTACTGTCTTGCATGTTACATACAATACTCCATTGACTTCAGACCAGTAGGTTTATGGTATAATGCATTATGGTGTTCTCAATTCAAAAAATAAATCAACTGATTTTTTTTTCAAGATATTTCCTTTGACATTCTACATTTTACTTTGAAAAATTCATCCGTTGCTAAAATTCTTCCAGGACATTTAAAAATAGCTCTAAATATTATGAAACTTATAAAATGCAACTCCATCCTGTGAAAAAAGTATTTCCACAGAGTATTCCATTGTTGGAGCTTGGAACGTCAACTTAACCAGCTGCACGTGTCTAGTAGCTTGTCGCTACTAGACAGCGATGGTAGTGACAAAAACGCGATGTCACTGTGTTCACTGCTGCAGCTGCGGTAAATCCTCTGCTTCCTCTGGTGGAATCTCTTCCGGAGGTCTTGTCCATTTGATCAGGGTCTCCGGGGAGCGATACAGGAACACCAACTTGGCAAACAAGTCCTCCTCCAGGTCCAGCTCTCCGCTCTCCCTCACCAGGTAGATGTCAAGGCAAAGCTGGAAATGAGTTGTGGTTGTAAAGTTTAGAATTGGAAAAATAATATATTTACTGTGTGTTGATAAGCTATCCGTATTTTTAAGGCTTTTCTATTAGAGAACTATCCTAACTCTTACCCTTCTGTGTAATTTTTTCACAGCTATCAATTAATGATTTTGGTGTCCATACTTGGGAATAACGAATAGAAATTCTAACAAATAGCGCTATTCGTTCGTTTTTTTTTGCTAACTTCTATTTTATTAGTTAGTTTCTAAAAAGAGCTGGAAATAACTTCTACTCAGTTAGTTTATTAGACAACGAATAGATAATATATTCGCTAGTTTTAAATTGTTAGCTTTTCTGATCAGGTGAAAGTATTTCCTCCAGTACGGGTTATTTATTTTACGTGTTCAGTGAGGGTTGCGTATTGCGTGCGTACTTGAGAGGTCAGCACCCTTGTGACAAACAACGTGGGGGGTGGGGAAAGAGAAAGTCAAAGTCCAGTCGCTTTGGTATGCAGCAGACCCGGAGGGCGAGCCAATGGCAGCCAATAACAACACCCCAAGCACCGAAGGGTGGGAAGGGGGAATGTTTGTTTGGCGATTGATATGTTGTAGGCCTACTGTAATCTCAAGTGTCAAAACAATGTCTTCACTTCAGTCGATGTTCAATATCTGACCGTGACAGGTGTTATTTTTTTGTTAGTTTCTTAGTTGTCTTGTCGTTATATATATTTTAGTGATAGTTAAATATTTTAAATACTATATAATCATTTTTATTTTTTAGTACAGGTATAGTGTATTTCTCAATGCGTTTCCCATGCTCTTTTAAACTTTATCTCACCACAAATAGGTCACTTTTAAATTTAGTAGTAAACTGTACTTTTATCACACTGGAAATCTTCATCAGACTTTAAAAAATTATCTAATATTTCGTAATCCATTAATTGCTGTTCATTAATTGTTGTACAATAAATTTTAGTGTAAAATTTAGCTAATTGAACATCAACAAACTGTGTTTTTACCTAACCGGGAACTTCAGTTGTAACTTATGTTTGTGTATCGAAAGTTATGTTTATGTCAGGAAAGGTGAGATGATTTGTTTTTGTCTTTTGAACTATTGAAAACTGAGTGATGACAAGTTTTTGTATCACCTTTGTCGGGGAAATAAATATGTGCACTCGAGTTTGAGCCTATATATATCTGATATGATATGAGTTATCCGATTTTGTTGAAACAAAAATTAAATATAAGCTGGTTTAAATACATTTTACGTGGTATCAATTTAAAAAAATCCCGTTTACCAGAAAAATTTATATAGTTGAAAGAACATAAAAAATACCGGTTTTTAAGAAACTATGCACTAAAACTGAACATTAAAATTTATTTGTAAACAAACCACTGAGCCAATCTTTCTAAAAATTTTATGGCTTATTGGTAGTTTCATTGTTAACATTTCCATGCATTTTGAAAATTTTATTCACAATAGTTTTTGTGCTGCTGTTAATTTTTAAAACGTATGCTAACATCGATAATAAGACTTCGTTCAAAATACCATCGTGTTTGCCGTGACACAAGAAATTACACCAATATGACAGATTTTATAATGCGAACAAAGGTGGTTTTTAAACAGATTTATATTTGTAGACAACAATTTATCCCGTGATTGGTAGCGGGCCGCCTGGTGTTTGTACGATATTTCCCAGCCGGGCGGGAGCACGTGCGAATCTGCGACGTTGCCGATGTGTATCTGACTACCACACTGACATTGCTTCAGTATTCGCTCACGGCAAACTAATGTGTAAATCATTATTTAGTAATAAACTTACATAAATTTACTAACAAAATATTCACTAGTCATGAAACAAATACATTATAATAATATTACTAGTAATACAAATCTACAAATTAAAAAAACACCTTTGTTCACTGCGAACGCTTGTTCAGAGCGGCAAGCCTAGTCATCACTAACAGAGTAACAGACGAGGAAGAATCAGCGACGCCAATTTTGAAAAACAACTTCCTTTAAAGTTTAATAGGCATTTAAAGTAAATTGTGTTGTAGTAATGAATGCTTTTACATTACATGAAATGTAAATGTGACGATGTTAAATCTATACTTATTTAATACGCAAGCAAGATTTTTGTGACAATTACTCCTCCGAAACTACTGAACCGATTGACATGTTTTTGGTGTCATTGGAAAGAGCGTAACGTGACGTTGTGCAGGAAACTTTCTTTTTTAGGAAATAATTGAGTGAGGCCTGGGGGCCGCCCTTTAAAGTTTCGTATTTTCTCCATAAGATTAACATGGGAAACAAATATTGTTATGAAACTCCAGCTGTTGTCAGAAATGCTGTTCTGCTATTTAATGTAATTTGTTTACAAGGAAAGTTGTTTCTCGGTGCCATGAGATCAATGAATTATAGTTTTGCATATATTTTAAATGATATACACTATATAAAATAATAGTACTGTAATACAGTACATTAAGAGATCTTAATTTAAATAATCACTAAGCAGAATTTAACCTTTGCCTATATGTTTCCTGGTAAGTGTGTTGTAACTGTTTCTTATAGTATATTATAGTATCTTATAGTATATTATAGTATCTTAAAGTAAAACCGAATTATTCTTTTCTGTATTTTCACCCCGTAGCGAAGCACGGGCAGGGCAACTAGTTAATATTTATTTAAAACACAATAATTAATAACCAAGATGTGTCATTAATTCATTACATATGAAATCCTTTAAAACAACCGTCCAACAAACAGCTGTCTTCTACAAATGTCGAAAACTAACTTTATTTTCTATCAGTTAGTTTTTCAACTAGCTAATAGCTTCTATCAGTTACTTGTTAAACTAACTAACTAGTAACTTCTATCAGTTACTTTTTATGGGACTAACTTCTAACTTCTAACTAGTTAGAAATTTTGACTAACTTTCCCAACTATGACAAATCCAACCACATTTTCAAATGTTATTCACTTCCAGATACTTGAGCTTCCGCTTCAGAGCAAGAGTGAAATGACTCAAAGTAAATAACATGACAACTGACAACAGGCTGTCTAGTTCTAAAGCGAAATCTATAATCAGGCTACCCAGTCATTATTATAAAGCTCTGGTATGTACACTGCAGGAGTGTGTAATGTTTTTTTTCAATTATTTTAATATAAATATTCATTGTACAACTAATATGACCATTGCAGCAATTTGGGAAATGCTAAAACACTTAAGTAAAATTCTAAGTTAAAATTAAAGTACTTCAAGTTTAAATTAATGTCCACAAATATCTAGTGATTCGATAAATAAATCAAGAGATAGATACTGTCCGCGAGAGTAAAGAAGTCCCTTGAGCCAGAGCGATACGCAGCTATGTTTGGAGGGTATCGCGCACTATTTGCAGGCGCTAAGCATCTGAGCGCCTCTCCTTGATGTCTGTCTGTAAACAACTGTTGTAAACATAATTACTCATATCTTTGTTTTGGTAAGTGGATTATCATTATGTGGTCACGTCATTTGATTCATTGCAGTCTCGTGTGTTCACGTTTTGTTTTGGACGGTCCTTGTAGCTAATGATTTAAGAAAACGTGGTGCTACTATACATAGTGGAGAGAGGGATTTAATTAGACGGGTGATCGAGTGTTGTGACAACGAATGTAAAGACAACAATTTATTAGTGCCGATAGAAAAGGCAACAGAACGTACCGCAAACTATTGTTAAGTTCCAGAAAAACTAATAAACGAATTAGAAAAGCCGGCAAACAAACTCCGGATGATAAACTCTGTACACCCGGGAAAAAACGCAAGGAGGCTGACCACCATAAAGTTCAAATAGATAGCTTTGATAGGCGTGTAATTGTAGATGTAATACGCGATTTTTACAAGAACAAAAAAATTGTCCCTACATGTAAAAAACTATTACCTGTTTTGAGAGAAAGAATTCATTTTAAATCGAGCGAATGGGCATTTCGGCGTCTCTTAAAAGATATAGGTTTCAAGTGGAAGAAATTTGGTCCTAAAAGAAAATGTTTGATTAAAAGTCCTGACATCGTTAATTGGAGGTTTAAGTATTTGCGAGGGATAAGAAAGCTAAGGGAACAAAAAAGGGAAATTTTCTATCTGGACGAAACTTGGATGGATAGCAATTTAACATTACAGAAATGTTATAGACCTTAATGGCGTGTTACCTGATGTGAACGCGTCAAACCGCGTGATTGTCGTAGACTTTGGGTCACAAACTAAGGGGTTTTGCTTGTTTTCTTGATTTTTTTGCTTAGGTTTATAGTAATAGGATTAATAACTTTAATAATAAGTTGTTTATTGCGATGAGTGCTATTGAAACTGCTGTACTCGTGTATTACCGGTAATATGCATTCACCATAAGTATATTCATGGATGTTGAACCTCTATAAGACGAATTTCAAGTGGTACGGGAAAAATTCGTACTATAGAGGTATTCTTAATAAAGAGGGTCGTTTTATCGAGGTTTAATTCTGCTGTTATTCTTCTTATAGAGGTATCTCTTCGCTCCAAGGTTTCTCCAAACAATGACTGAGGAAGGAGGAGGGATGGGTGGGGGTTTCATGTTGAGACAAGATTCTGTTTGTTCTGAAAACTACGTACTATGGAGGTTAAGATTATGATAAATTCGTCTTATAGAGGTCACGTTTGTCTTGTAGAGGTTTTGTGCTAAGAAATTTGTTGTATAGAGGTTAATCAGTCCTAGCCCATGTCACAAACAAATTCGTCTTATGGAGGTTTTTAACTTAACTACGTTGTATAGAGGTGTTTTTAGCATTGACCTATATGAAAGTGTCAAGGGGATTAAAAAAAATTCGTCTTAACGAGGAATTTGTTTTATTGAGGTTCGTACAAACGAGGTTCAACTTGGGTTTAATGCTTTCAAACTCGGATTTAAAAAGGATTTTATTGTATTGTATTTTATTGGTATTGTTACATTTAACTAAACAAAAATCATAAAGTAGAAAGGTTATTAATTTGCCTTAGTAACACTAGAAAATGGGTTTCCTTCGATTGTATGACTATGCAAAAAAATATTATGTCATCTATAAGTATAAAAGAGGATGTTTGTATATATATATATTTGGCAGTGACAAACTCAGACACCGCTGAACCGATTGCCACGAAACTTGGTACATACGTGTAGAATTTCATGGAATAGGTTTATACACCATCAATTTCGTGATCCGTCCAATCGGCTCCGCCCCAGTGGCTCTGGAGTTTCCCATGTTAACCTTATGAGAAATGGAATTAATGAATCTTAACAGCTGATTCAATTAAACAAGTTGGTTCTGTTCTATGATGTTCAATAGCATTAAAGTTACAAGGATTACCAACAGGGTGCAGAACTATTATTTCTTTTACATTTATGACAAAAGCTAATTTGCAACCAAAAGGTGAGTGAGCATAGCGAACGAACTTCAACCTGCTGGAGGCGAGTTAGCATAGTGAACGAGCTAACCTGAAGGCAAGTGAGCGTAGCGAACGAGCTAACCTGAAGGCAAGTGAGCGCAGCGAACGAGCTCCAACCTAAAGGTGAGTGAGCGTAGCGAACGAGCTCCAACCTAAAGGTGAGTGAGCGTAGCGAACGAACTTCAACCAGGACGTGATTGAGCCAAGCGAATTAAATCATCTTGAAAATACTGTCATTAATAACCATGAATGAAAATAACCATTAATAATTAAGCTAGCATAACCTAGCATTAATATAAGAGCAATAATAAAGAATCGGTTATCCTTTGTACTATATGTGTTTCATTAGTTGTCGTACGTATTTTAATTTAGTTATAAGCACTTCATATACAATAAGACAATTAAACGTTACGGTACTTAAATTATAAATAGTCAAAGGCAGACAACGTCTGCCGGGTTCAGCTAGTAGATTTATAAAAATCATACCTACAGATATTAAATACAAAAATTAAGCCTTAAAACTAGCAGAGCAGCGTCAAGACGGCTCTACAGTGATTGTCGCGCGAACGTTCAAGCGTAACGCCTTCAAACTACGAATAGGCCGGAGCTCAGGGGACTTCTTTACTCTCGCGGACAGTACATGCCTCTCTTCTACTATTTAAAACTGTAAAATGTATTACCACGCAATACCTCAAATGTACTTGGTACATGGCGCAGGACACATGGGCTAGCTAGTATTGGGCGGGACTTTTAAAAACTGTTTGTTGAAAATACAAACTATATCACAGGTAAAGGTTGAGATTCTATACTCACAGGAAAAATTGCCACATGGAAGTTTATTTTATTTTGTTACCTCTACCAAAGTAAGGTTTTATAATCCAATTTTATTCATTTATTTGTCAATTTCATCAAGAACTATAGTTACTTTACCATGCTTTGGCTTATAAAAGACCACCACTCCTGTGAAGTTTTCCTAATGAGATTGACAACTAACCTGGAGGACTCGATCAACGTTAGGCATATCATCAAACATGATTTTAAACGATATTCCTGTGAAAAACCCTCTGATGAACGAATGCAGGACAATGACAAAGGTCGTGTAAAGACCAATGATTCTGAAAAAAAAAAAAAACAGAGAGTACATTAAACCATTAACCTAGAGACTAACTCTTACAAACATGGAGAATTAAACTACCTTAAAAATAAAGAAGCAGATAGATGAAAAACACAAGTATGTATTTAGTGCAGACAAAAGTGAAATTGCAACTATGTCAGTGATTATGTAATTGTAACACACAACTAAATACTAAAAGGCAGGGAGTGAAAATTGAAAATCAATACAAACTATTTAATTCATGGCAGGTGACAATTAAACATTAATGAACCATGAAACATGTTGATGGTGACATGGTGATATGGTAATGGGACATGGTGATTAATGAAACATGGTGTCAATGCATTGTTTATGCAACATAAATTCATAGTAGTAATGTTAAAATCCGCAAATTTCAAATCCAAATGCCAAATACAATTTCTATAGAACCTACTGTAAAAATTACATTTCCTGGAAATTACATTTCCTGGAAATTACATTTCCTGGAAATACATTTCCACACCTATTTATGAAATCACTTCAAAACTTATTACTGTTTTATTTTCTAAAATGTCACTTTTTAAAATCATGACAAAATCATGTTAATTTTCCATGGTCATATTGACATCACTAGATCCTCCGTCCTCAAATTATACAAATCCCAAAAAAAACTGTAGTAAAATGCTTAAATGCTTGGAACTTGAATAAAACAAATCAGATTATAAATATTGTACTGCCTTTAAAGAATACAAGAGTTATGAAGCAAGTGCAGGTGCGATTAAATTTGAGAAAAATGTCTTTTTATTCAAGCATATCAAATCTTGATTATGAATTTTTTTTTATTGGGTAAATTTAAGATTCAAGATCTCTGGTTTTGATACATAACTTACATATTTAGTGAGTTTAGTAAACTGAATAAATAGTTTTTTTTTATATTTTTTTTATAGGAAAGCTAAATAATATGTTGCCTATGTAATATAAAATGACTGTAAATGTATAAACTATCTTCTAAATAAGTTAATAAAGCTACAAGTAGGCCTAACAAGTAAACCCAAAACATTTTAATATAGCCTAAGTTATTGATATTTTAAAAAAATCTCAAGTATCTTATTTAAATTTAGTGGTACACCTGATGCGGTCACATTCTAAAGCTTTCTAAAATATGCAAAGTAAACTAAAGATTATTTGGTAGAATACAAAATTAATAATACACAAATTAAAAATAAAATGTAAAGGCACTTGTAAACTGCTTTTAAATTTATTAAAAGCAAAATTGACAATTTATAAGTATCTGGTAAAGATAGCTATGAGTAAAATTTAGTATATTACATGTGTTTCCTGTATGAAAGAATAGCTTTATTTGGCAAAAACCACACATAAGAAATTGTTAGGTTAAAAATCTCCTAGAGGTAAAAAGTTGACCTTAGATTTCTAATTCATAATAGGCAAGGATTCTTTCAAACCAAATAATTTACATTTTTGATTTTTTTTTTCTGTCATTGTAAAGCAGTCTTGATATCAAATTTATGATATAAATCAGAGTTTTATCTGAAATCTGGATTTCTCTTGAGGAATCTGTCTCATCTTCACAAAGGCCATATGGTCTCATATAGACAATAAGCAACAGATTGGCTACTACAAACACAAACCATCTATAATGTAGCCACATGCCATAGAAGCAATCATGTGCTGCCCCCAATTGTACTTTATGATCACCACAGGTTTATAATGCCCAAATAAACGTGAAGAATTTAACTACAACTAGATTGCTTTCAAGGTTTTGTATATGATTTATGATTACAGTTAAAGTTAAGTAGACATTGCATTACCAAGTTTTTAGTGTTGTTATTAGTCTTGACTTTTGGATAGTTAAATAAAAGTATTGAATCTCCAGCATTGTACTGTAGTCAATCACTGAAAGCGTAACTAGTTGATAACGATTGCATGCCACATCAGGGATAACAATTTAAAAACTAAAGAATAATACATATAGAATGTCCACAAAAGCACCTCCTCATATTAGATTTATTCCATTTAAAAGCTGCAAACAGTTCATATAAATGGGATGTTATTTATTAACAAATATAACTACCAGCTACCTAAGCAAACCAAAAGTAAAATGCAAGCTATAAAGTCCACAAACCAAGCATTAGGCAAACACAAAATGTACAGTAGAACCTAAATTCAAAGGTGCATAATTGGACGCTGAGAAAGAAAGTGTACCTGTCAAATGAATTGTGAATTCGAGAAAAACTAATATTATAGCGGAAATTCTCTGAAATTTGTCTCGGCAGATAATTATTCAATTATTGGACAAGGTTTTAATATTGACTTAGGATATTGCAAGTACACTCCTTCGATTACATTTAAAAATGCATTAACGTTGTTTTCATGTTTATCTGATATTGTAGTGTTAATTTGATATTTCTTTACTCTTTGGTTATGATATATGACAAGCAATTGATTTACTAATAGCTCCATTTTAAAACTCAATACACAACAGGAAGAGAAACATGATTTTAACTGTTCCCAACTGATACAAAAAGGTGTAAAATCTACACGGGTATGTTTTGGCTACAATGGCTTTATTTTCAGTTTCCTTCCTTGCTATTTAGGTTCTACCTTTAACTACGGATAAAGTAAGACATCCCATGCTAATAATAAAATGTTAAAGATGAGCATGAATTGAGTCAATGGCAGACTATACTGCTGTTAGTTAGTGATTTATGTTGTATAATGTGGTCTTTTTACCAGGCCAAACTGAAAGGACAAATTACTGTCCTAAAGCATCATTTTATATATAAAATGTTAAAATGTGTATAATTTATGTTATAACATAAATTAAAATTAAAATTATTAATTTAAAAACTATGAGGGCAAAAAGAATGTTTCGAGTAGATATTTTGAGTAGGTAGATGTTTCGAGTAGGCTTCTAGCAGCCTATTCAACAATGTTCCATTAAAAAAAATTGCTACAGATGGTCCATATGGATGGGATGTCTACTCTAGTATGCAAAAATGTTCTACTATGCTACTAAACCAACTACACCCACCAAACACCATGTTAATTTTTACAATTAGAGATATGAATGTAGAATTACCTGGATGTTAATGTGTCTGAACACTGAACACATGTGAGGTTAGGGAGTCTGAACTATTTACAGACAACATTCAACTAGGAGCACATCCATCACCCGGGGGGAGCAGGCAGGGGAAGCAAATGTACAATCACGAGCTTTGTGCAACAATTTTCAAATTGTCTTAATTTACAAACGGTAGTTACACACTAGCATACATGTATTTTACATTGACAATGAAGTTCATATAGAATGCGAGTCACAGTTCATCTATTTACATAATCGCCAAAGTTGCTAAAGGCGGCAATAATTGAATTATTTGTATTAAACATCGTACAACCTGAATGAATACATTTGATAACCTGTACACATTATGTAATAGGTAGATAAAGACATGTCACTGCTAGCTCCAAAAATGAGGAGTGCAGACAACTTAAGTAAAACCACTGTTTTTGAAGCATAAATGCAAATAAATCAAAGGCATTTTTCTTTAAAAATATATGTTTATTGTTGTCATGCCCAAATATTTTAGTTGGCATTATCTGAAAAAATTTATGTTTACCATTGATTGTTTAATTTGCCTTTGTTTTAACATGATTTTGGTCTCTGTTAACAAGATTCTCTGAAAAAATGTTTTGTGATTCTTCTTTTTGTTAATGTTAGATTGACAATCATCACCATAACATTTTGTCAGATGATTCTAACACAAATTATTATTGACATGAAAAAAATGTGTATGCATTTTTTACATTCATGGTTCACAGAGATTTTACATTAGTTTTCAGTACTCCTCTTTTTTCACCAGAAGTGACATGAGCTTATATACTCTCATTTAATAATACATGCAAACAATTTTGTTGAGTTGGATTTTATCTACAAGAAAACTATCTAACGACTTAAGGTAAAAATTTTGGATTTTTTACTTTCTTTAATTCTATAAAACCTGACTCCATGCTTTGTTTAAAAAATCAAACCAGTAACAACCAGAACCATCATAAACACACCCCCATCCCCAGTGCTGCCTTATCACTATCAGGATGACTGAATAACATAGAATATACAACTTGGAGTGGGTTAAAAATATTTAAGGATTAAATAGAAAATTTTAATTAATAAAATATAAATTATTAGTTCTTTATGTCAATTTTTGCTTTAAGCACATAGTCTATTATTGCTAAAAACATTGTATGAAAATGGTTGCATGAAAATTTATGTTATAGGGTAAAATCATAGACTAAACAACACAAGTAGACTTCTCATTCCATTGTAAATTTTGAAGCTTGTTTTTCGTGCTTTATATTTTGGTTATATAACTAGGAGACCAGTTATTGTTTATGATTAGAACGTTTTATTTGGCTATACGAGGTTTTAAATTACTGAAATAACAATAAACAAATTGTAAACCAAACACGACCCCTACAGTACGACATACAGAACTAACAATAAAACTGGCTTTAGCTGTTCCATAAGGATGACAAATCTACTAAGGGAGTATGTTTTGTCTATGGTCAAATCTTTTGTTCACGTAATGACAGTTACAGTTCAGTCAATTTTCAAGCAGTCTACTGTGATTATAACTGAAACAATTGTATGAACTTTAAAAATAACGTGTTATCAATCTTCATTGTGTCACAAAAAAATGTATAGTAGAAGTAGCAAATTTGACCATTTATTAGCATACCTACCTAAATCACACAAAAACACAATTTATCTTAAAAATAGAATAAAAAAAATGTTTCAACTTAAAAAAAAAAAAAAAAAAAAAAAACTATTCAAACACTTAAGAAAAGTTTGAAAGTTTACTCAAAACAAGTTGTGTCTATCATCCACTGTTTCAAAATCTATATAATTAATACGCTACATGAAACTTTGTCGGTTGAACTCCTCCGCCATTTCTTAACCGATTTTATCCATTGACGTCTCATTGGAAAGAGCGTGTCGCGTAGATTTGCAAACTGGCCTTACATTTTTGAAAAAGTCCCTTGGGCTCTGCCCCAGTGGCCTTGAAAGTTCCCATGTTATCCTTATTGAGAACATAATTGTTTACATTTTGATCAGCTGTATAATTTAATTGCTGTTATTTATTTTTCAATTCAATGAAATGCATTGAGTACATTTATTTACTATTTGAGTTTGTGTAAACATAACCTTCAAGACGGAACGCATTAGTATGGTTGTATCTTAAATTTGTGTATTTATCGTTGTTTTATGTCGCTGGATCGTGATGGCATGATTGTAACTTAAATTTGTGCATTTATCGTTATTTTGTGTAGCTATAATTTGTTTATTTGTTGTTTTTTTCTTTTAAATGCCTCCGACACGACGACAACGAAACATAGCCAGGACTGACAGGAGGCGTAGTCGTGATAACGACCGCAGCTACACATAGTGGCGTGTAAAATAGGCTACCTCATCACAGTCAGCACCTGACCCTGGACAATCTCAACTATTAGGTTACATATGCACCCTAACACAACCCCAAAACAACTTTTTGTTCTCAATTGGCCCTCTATCAATGACCTGTGTTGCCTGTACAGCGAGGCATTTTGAGAAGGAGAAAACCGGACGGAATGCTTTAGGCTTTAGGTTTATCAATTACGAACATAAACATGGTCTGAGTTACACACCGGTAATCTTTGAGATGACTCTTTTAAACTCATTGTAAATATGACTGTTATTCGTTTTGAAATAACTCCTGTAATACTTTGCAATTGCTCGAATTCGAGCAACATGTACACTAGTTATTGCATTAATGCAACACATAATTTAGCCATTTTAATATTATTTACATAATCTTACACAGCTCTATACAACACATAGGATATCACAGTTACTAAACATGCTTTGTAACTAAATATTTTTATTTTGTATTATATCTACTTGTATAAATTCCTGCTAAAACTATAAACACCCTTATGATATTTATATACAGCACATTCATTTGTTTATATTACATTGTAATAACACCAGGTGGAAGGTGGTTTTTTAGGACAAAATGTCCCCATGTTTTAGAGTTTTTTTTTTCTGGATTAAGGAGCTATAATATAAACTATTGTAACAACAATGTATCATAATTTTAGTATAAGATCTACTTGAACCTGGAATACCTTTGTTCTTGTAAATTTTCAAGATTGAATATATTACAATTCGGAAAACAAACTTCTCGTTTATAGCTCTGCAAACTAAAAAGTCAAGATTTTTTTATATAGTATAAAATAAATCTGGCTTATATCGAAGATTTGTCTGCATAAAAATAAAAATAAAACATATTGACGACCAAAAGGAAGTATTACTTTGAAAAATGTTAAATTAACGAGTGACATTGTCCTGTAAGGAATTGGCTCCATTAAAAAATAATTAAAATCTATAGAGAGTGATTATTGTAAACTCACCCCTTGCCACTAATTATGTTGAGCCCCTCGGGGAACGCTTTGTCATTGAAGGTATAGATAATGAGGTTATCACAGTTGGCCCAAGGCAAGTTCTTCAACACCTGCAGTGGAACATGAGTTTAGTCACATGTGATATCAAACACTCACAATGCAGTGTTAATACGAGTTTATTTGTTCTTAGAATATGAGTAAATAAACATTTAAATTTGCAAAGGATTGTCATAATGGATTATAACATAAACATTTATTAGTTGGGTTCAAAATTTGTTCTTTAAAACATGTTGTTAAAATCAAATTGAAATAAATCAAAATATTTAATCCACCAACTGGTTCCTAATTCTGCTATTTTGAAGATTTATTAGATTTTGACTAAAATATTTCTTTTATTTTAAACTATGCGAAAGTGTTAAAATAAACAGATGTCTTAAATTTTATCATCAATTTTTTGTGTGTAATTTATAAAACAATAATAATACCAATTTTCTTCTGTATTGAACCAAAACATTGATAGATTTGATGATGAGAATAAGATTTTTAATAAGAATAAGACTATTCACAAGCCAAGGATTGTTTCTCATATTACTTCAGGTTAGACTTAGGAGGTTGACTTGAGAATCAAGCATAACAGGGAAACCAAGGGATCTGTTGAAAGTCAAAAAGAATGTGCACATGAGCAGAGGTGACGGCGACCTAGCACCACTAACACGCCTAACTAAATCCCTCACCCTGATAAATTACAGTGTTACACTGACATGACAGTTTGTTTTACCCATTTGACATTTTGGCTGTAGAAGTAAACGAGTTAGAGCTTGGATAACTGTTTCATTAAAGTGAACAAGAATATTTTTTTAACTTTCAGAAGTTCTAAAATTAAATATGGTGAATCCGCAAGTCATTTTCACTTTTAACACATGATTCAAGGTACAATTAGCATTAGCTATAGATTTTATAACAAAACGCATCAAGTTATTACGCTGCATAGTCACTTTAATTGATAAATAAAATTAAAACTAATTGAGTTGATATCAATACATTGTTTGAGTGGGGGCAGATCTCTAGGTGCTTCGGCGTAATGTGGGCTTTTGCTTATTACCAACATTAAAAAATTTGTTAATTTCACTGGATGGAACATTACCGATTCGTAGGTAGAGTCGTTACAGTTTTCTCGTAGCTCCCACCAGTAGACATTACTCAAATTGTCGTAGCGAAGTCTCATGTTTATATCTCGATACGGAGTGATCAGCTCACGGTTTTGGTCTGTGATCAAAATACAGGTTCTAGCAGATTATAACCAACAAAAAAAAAAACTATATGGTATGTTTTTTTTTAACAGTTTTTACCTACTGAACAACGTAGCAGAACATCAATAACATCCTTTTCTTCATAGGCAAACTGCATGTGTGTGAAAAATGTAATACAGTAGTTTTCTATTTAATAGAGATTTTAGTTCCAAAACTAGAAAATTATTATAAGGGACTAGATATAGGAAACTTTCAACAAACGTTAAGACCATGACAAAGAAAATAAAAGAAATAATAACTTCAATAGGTGAAGAAAATGTTTTACTTATATGACAGCACAATTAGGTCACATTGGATTGATGCACAAACATGCAAAAGCCATTTAGGAAATACACCCTTTTATAAAAGATGTAAAAGAACACAAAATATAAACTTGTTTCCTGTTTTCTATCTATAATCATTAAATAAGAGTCTAAGATTTAATAATCTTACTTAACAAACAATTTAATCAATAAAAAACAGTAAATAACTAATGTTCTCAATTCTTATTGAATCAACTCAAGTTCAAGTTATAAAGCCCGAGGTTCAATACTTAACTTTTTTTTTAGGGTTGGCGGCCTCTTTTAACCTTGCATTTGCCCGTCCATATAGACTAAGCGCCTGTGCATGGATCGTTTACAGCAAAGCAAGGAGTGAGCCGGTACAGTACAAAGGTGAACTGTACTGATAAAATGTTATCGGCAGTGACCAGGATCCGAACCCACGACACTACTGCCTTGGGCCTGAAGTCCGTGACACTACCGACTGAGCCACCGACTCACTAAACTACTCAACTTCATACTTAAACTAGTTTAATATATTTAAACACCGACTGATAAATAGATCAGTTAATCATATATTCAACAGTTATACTCCTAGTTGAATGGTAAATTGTAATGCAGACATCACAGACTGTGTTAAATTGATATCTAAATAGAATGACAATTGATTTCATCTACGCTTTAATATTTCTCTTTGGAATTAATTTTATTACTGCCTCAACTATGATAAAGGAAATTTTAAGATTGTCAGACCTCTGAATGCAGTAACAAATTTGCAAAATAAAACAAAGCAAAAACCATAAGGGGGAGAGCCACTAAAAATTTTGTTCTGACAGGTTGCGAGTTTAGATATTGTTTGACTTGCTACAAAGTATGTCAACTTGTTTTCTGTTGACAACGCAAACAACTGTTGGGTTGGCAGTTATTTTTTTAAGATATATAGTTTATATGTTTTATTGGTGTCCTTTTTTGATGCATTTACAGGTTTTTAAATTAATTAGCTGGTAAACAAGTTTGCTATGTGTGTGTCTAAATGTGTAACTTGTACCTCTGTGACAGGACTAATTTTTAAATACATTAGTTGTTGTCGTAAAAAACATATTTTAAAAGACTCTGATTTCATGTTTCTCTAATGAGGGAAAAAATATCAAAGTAGGCAAAATTAAATCACTGAATAATCCATGAGTTACGGTTGCTATTAGTTGTGTCACCTTGCTGCCGCGTACCTGTACCCTGCATCAGCTGAGTGATGGGAGAGGCGATGCCTGTGCTGCTCACTTTGATGAACTTAGGCATCAGGTTGGGTATGACCATATGATTGGCTACATTGGTCTGGTTGAGCATCTGCACCAGAGTCTGTCGGTCCGTGTTGTTAGCCTCCAGGATCGTCTCCTGACTCTCCGTAAGCACTCCGGGAGTCTCCGGGTTGTTAGTGTGTCTCGAAACTGTCCACGTCAGCTTTACGGTGATCGGATTTGCTGCAACACATAGCCAGTGCATTAGTGTGTGATAAGGGAATTTCACAAGTACATTAGTTTACAGCACATTGGAAAATTTAACATTGCTTAGTGAGGACTTGATGAACAGTGCAGTATCACCCTAAAAATGATCAGAGAGCACACTTTAGTGCAGGTGTCTTAGCCTGAGATCTTTATCTTCCGAGTACAGACATTGGAGGCAAAATGCTTGTCTAAACTTAAGTCGATCTATACAGAAACTCGATAGTCTGCAGGGAGAGTTGGATATTACTGGAGGTAGGTAATTAAAGATCTGACACTCAAGACTCTACCATATTACAGTACAATATAGGCTATATAATATGTAAACTGTCAACAAGATACCTTACAAAGATTTGTAAAAACAAAACTAGTGGAATGAGGCTCAAAACTAAAAGATTACCTAGTCATCTCTTGCATACATTTATTTCTTGCAAATGCTATAAGTGTATTTACAATATTGAATTTTTTTATCTGTTGTTTATCTAATAAAAATGCAGATTCAGAGTAGACTGTGATTGATTATGTGAACATTCAGTTGCACTTGTACAACACATGAAAGCCCAAAAACTGTGAAACCGAAACACTCAAGTTGGCCCAGAACTGTTGGTTTGAAAACAGGTTTTCATAGTTTTTAGACCTAAAAACTTTTGAGGATTTCTTAATTTCTACAAAAACTATTAACATTTCAGCCCCTAGGTTACTCACATGATCTGGCCTCCTTCTTCATGTTCTCCTCGTCTGGTGGTGAGATGGTCCAGGTGGAGGTAGAGTGAGGAGAGAGTTGCACAACACCGACGTCCTCGTAGTTGTAGTTGGAGAGGAAAGTCTGAGCCACTCTGGACTTGCGGTACACCTGACTCATGGACGTCCACATGTCCTCATCTAACCTGCAACAGAACAAGAATATTGGCTAACGTTAGATTGTCTCTATCTAGGGATGGTCAAGTCTCAAAATTTCGGGAAATTTTCGGGAAATTTTAAATCTCGTTACACGAGACGAGATTTCTTTTTGGCCGAGATTTTTATCGAGACAAGAAAAAAAAAATAATAAAAAAAAAATTAAAAACGCCTGCAGAAAGTCAATGCAATACCCGCAATACAGGAGCGTGTTGTAGTTGCTTTTCCTTTGCGAAGGCGTTCTTATTTAATTAATTCTTTAAATGTAAATATTACTTTAATTATTTTAATAATGTTACTTTAATAACATTTGAGAAGTATTGTTAAGTGTAAGCAGTGTGAGGAATGTTTTATTACTATAAAAAGTCAAAACAAGTAACTATTTTATAAAAATTAATATTGCTTTTATTTTATGATTTATTTTATTTTAGGATAAGTTGAACTCTATCCTAACTGATATCACTATGTTTCCTAATCGTAGGCATTTTTAATAAGTTAGGCGTGATTAATAAAAAAATGTTATGCTGATGTTTTTTTAATAAAAGATTGTAAATATTCTTGCCTATTATCATTATTTTTGTATTTAAACAGTCATCTAACAATGTTACAAAATCAGGTAAAAATTTTGAACGTGCATTTCCCGTTGTGTATGAGAAGGGAAATCCCGTCTCTATCTCGTCTCAAAATTTTATGAGAAATAAAAAATCTCGTCTCGTCTCGAACTAAAAATCCAATCTCGTCCATCCCTATCTCTATCATATAATAACAGACAACACGTGTCATCTAGCTCCAAAAAAATGCATTGGCTCACAATACACTAAATATGTAGGAATGGGCTTCTTCAAAAGGAATTAGTGGAACCATCTGAGGAAGTCCCATCATGGCAAAAAATATAAAATTTGTAATTGTAATGTGAAATATTGATGTGCTATGTACTCCCTGGAACTCCTTTTAGGGATGGACTCCGCGGTCACGGGGTTATCGTCAGAATGACTCCGCGGTCACGGTGCGATCGTCAGTATGACTCGCGATCACGGCTCGATCGTCAGCATGACTCCGCGGTCACAGCGCGATCGTCGTCATGACTCGCGGTCACTGCGCGATCGTCGGTATGACTTCGTCTCCTGCGTTTGCGGACCTATCGCTCGCAATAACGGCGTTATCGGCACTCGCGAAGCGGAAAAATCGCCGACGATCGGACCAAATCCCGTCCCGAAAAATTCTTGAGTCAAATGTAATCCCGTCCCGATAATCGGGAATATTTTTTTCCCGAAAAATTCCCGAAATTTCGGGACCCGTCCATCCCTAACTCCTTTCAATTGTAACCTAGTTGTGCATCCTACCCTTGATTAAAGAATTCCTAAGCCAAGTACTCTTTTGTTCAAAAACTAACCACTGGAGGAGTAAGTGGTTAAGATTAAATAAATAATAATTTCTTTCATTCTTGTGTACGATTAAAAGCTTCATTGATGTGCCAATAAAATTTACACAGTACCTGTAGCCTGCATCAGATGAGTGGGAGAGGTGACCTTTTACCATTTACCTAACTAGAAAAGTTATTTTCCAAACCAACCTGGCGATAGAGTTATTCTGTGCACTCATCGAGTAGATGGGCTGGAAGGCACCGATCCTGACATGGATGGTGACATCGTAAGGTATGTTAGGCTGTCCCACAGTGTTGCCGAGGGCGAACAGAACCAACGGGAACCAGATGACTCCGATGATGGCCATGAGAGCGCTGCCTCCCACCAGGTACTTGGAGAGAGGGTTCTTGCGTTCTCCCCGTGGCTGAGGGTACTCGGATTCTGCCCGGCGCTGGCACTGTGTAATACAGGAGAGGATATAGTCTTAAAACAGGGTTTACTGGGAGCTGAATATTTTAATTAAAGGGTCTTATAGTTCTGGAAGAATTGAGAATCAGGTACGTTTAGTTAAAAGTTTTTATGAAGACAGACAGATGATCTTGTGGGTGTGTTAATGGGGACAGTCTTGCAGGTGTGAAACTGTCTCAATATCTTAAACCATTAGCAATAGGCTTCCACTGTCACATTCCGCAGATTCATGGTCTTTGGGAAACAATCAAGTCAAAATATATCAAAAACTTTATTCAGTGTTTTTTTTTGTTTTTTTTGTTTGTTTTTTTTTTTGTCTTGACATGACTGACGTATTGTTATCACTTGATTTATCAACTGTTTGGAAGTCAAGTCAATGGCACTCTACATTGATTGGTATATAGGGTATATATTTTTTTTTGCAGTTCTTGCCTATAGTCCACAATTTTATAGGCGACAAGTTTGGCTAAATATTTTTCTGGAGAGTCAGCTGATCTACATAACACATATGAGGCCCAGCGTTAATAGCTCATTGCCTTGGATTTAATTCTGTTAAGAAAAATCTTTTTGTAAATACATATTCATAAATTTAATGTTAATGATTCATTATTCTTTTTATCACTTCTTAACAGTGGTAAACTGTACCTTACAGGGGTGCCAACGGGTTTGATGTCACAAATTGAGACATCAGCAGATTTTTTGCAGGGGAATTTATGATTTTGAAGAGATTCCAGCCATTGGTCGGTTAGAAGCACATAAAAGATTTCAGGGCTGTGCGAATAGTTCGAAAAACGAATCGAATCCGAATCTTTTTAGAGATTCGATTCGGATTCGAGAACGAATCTACTGTTTCTAACTGGATTCGGATTCGGAATCGATATTCAAATTTACTGGTAAGAGATCCGGGTTCGGATTCGATATTCAAATTTCTTGGAAATAGATCCGAGTTGGGATTCGATATTCAAATTTACTAGATTCTGATTGAATATAATTTTCAATATAATTTTTTAGACACTAAAAAACTACTTGTGCACTCCGATTTGCTGTTGACTGGTTCATGTTAGGAACCTGACCAACTTGGTGTTAGGTTTTAGGTACATTAGTGTAGGTCGCATTTGAACCCTATCTTGGCTATCAGTAAACTTAACCTCACAGTGTTTGTTGTTACTTGTAATAGTAATGCAGACACAGGCTTGTGTGGAGGATTAACACCGAGGTGTATAATAGGCTGGGCCTATGTTTTAGACTACACAAATTGGTAGTCCATCACTTTTAGCGAGTAACTTAGGCCTAGGTGGTATGCCTAACTTATGCCCAATTTTTTAGTTTCCAAACTTCAAATAGGTAGGCCTAAATTTTATAACTTTTTTATTTGGCCCATTTCAAGAATTTTGTTAAGCAATTCCCTAAGTTATTTCAGCCCCAGAAAATGTGGTCTAAAAATGTGAAAATTGGTACTGCTGACTTTCCTCGGATTTGGATTCGACTCTGAACAGGTTTAAATATTTGGATTCGATAACAGCTTTAAATTTCAGATTCGGATTCAATCCAGGTTCGATAATGGCTGTAAATTTGAGATTCGGATTCTACCCAGATTCGACTCGGGATTAATTAAAATATTCGGATTCGATCCGGATTCGATAAAATCTGTACAGCTATGATTCGGATTCGGATTCGAACCAAAATTTCTGGATTCGCACAGCCCTGAAAGATTTATCAGAAAATGTTTACAGCTTCCTTAATTTATTACTGGGGTAGTTATGCAATCAAAATCCCATTTGAAAATTTATCTTAATAAATAATTTTATAATGGCTATAAAATGTTTATGTGGATTTCCACTTTCTGACTCGTATCATGTTTGACAATGAGAACAAATTAGTTTTTCCTGTTAATTGGCACTTTTTAAAGCAAAATTGTCCATTTAAATTGGGTTAAAACTTAAAAGTGTTATTCAAAAGTTTAAATTCCCATAAATTCGCAGAGTAGTTTAAATAAGTGTTGGGGTCATCTCACCACCGCATTTTAACTATCCTTTAACCACCAGACCTCCCAGCATGGCAAAGAATTTTGGGGAGGATTCTGCGACGTGAGCTTTGGGGGAGCTGCGCACCCCTGGTACCTTCAATATTAAGATTTAAGCTTTTAAAGAAATCTTTTTATCTTGACAACTCAAGCCTCACCTTGAGTTGGAATATGTGGGCGAAAATGTCCTCCATCTTGAGCCAATCGGAGAGTGTCATTGAAGTGTCTGTCCAGATCCAATCCATCAGAGCTCGTAGCTCAAACACAAACGGAACTGCCATGAAACTAGAAATAATATAGTCAGTTGTTATGAAAACTATTAAACTTGTAACAAGAAGGGGTTGTAAGTAGGGAAAAATTAGACTATGCTAAACTTGATGACATCTTTTGTACCCAAATTATGCTTGGATGTGTGTGTGTACAAGAGCAAAAGAACCAAGGTTGAAGGTTTAAGCATTTTCTTTAGGTTAGAAAATGTACCTAATTGGGAAAGATTCCACTCAGAAACAAAGAGCAAACACAACTTTACACTAAACAGAAAAGTTAAAATATTTCACTAGCACTGACATAAAAAAAAAAAAAAATCATTAAAATCATTCTTGGCTGAAAACACTGTCTATGACACTAAAACATTTAGTGAGTCGGTGGCTCAGTCGGTAGCGTCGCGGACCCAAGGCAGCAAAGTCGTGGGTTCGGATCCTGGTCACTGCCGATAACATTTTATCAGTATAGTTCACCTTTGTACTGTACCGGCTCACTCCTTGCTTTGCTGTAAACGATCCACGCACGGGCGCTTAGTCTATGTGGACGGGCAAATGCAAGGTTAAAAGAGGCCGCCAACCTCTTTTTTGAAAATGAAAAAATAATGAAATTTCAATTTTTGATGATTGTGTCTGATTTGTGTTTCTTATACCAGGGTGGACTCTTCACCACTGAGATGAGCCAGTTGTTCCAACATGTTTTTATTCAAAATGAATTTTGTCCAATTACGAGGTAGGCCTAAATACAATACTCACACTTTAAACAAGTACATATTTATGTAGTTGAAGCTCTTGCACAAGAAGTTGCCCAATATTCTTGTAGGGTAGCCACTGCGTATCTGGTAGGCTGACAGAAGCAGGTAGAAACACTTGACCATGTACCACATCTGAGGAGGCAGAGCTGCGTTGAACTGCCTGTAGTTACAGATAATAATTATTCAGTTAAAAGGATGCTAAAAAGTACGTAGTATTTAAATATTTCCCTCCAATATCATACCATTTAAGTAGACTAGGCTGGCCAGCCGCACACGTACAACAAAATAATGCTGTCTTTTTTAATTTATTATTTTTTACATTTTTAAATCAAGATACATTTTTGAAGACAATGGCATATATAGAAAGTTAGGAATAGAATCTAACAGTGTTGAAAAAAATATTAAAAACTTAAGAACTTGAATTATTGAAAATAGCTGAAAATGGACTGATGGTGATGAACTACTGTTAAGAAATAGTTTACTTTATAGATATTTATTCTTAATTAAAAAAAATAAATTCAAAAACTGTTTTGATTCAATGACTTATGACTAACTGAGTAAATATTATGTACATCATGTAGAAAATATAAAAATAAAATAAAATAAAGACTAACTTTTCTGTTCATATAATTTGAAAACAAAAAAATAAGAAAGGTACTTGTGGGATGAACATTTTCTTCATAGATTAATATTTAATATTTCGTTGAAAATTTTTTTTTTTTATTCACGTGTTCCCTGGATGGTTCTAAACAAAAAATAACTTTTGACAGCTAAATCATCACATGTTTGATCTCTCATCTATGTCAGCTGCCACATAAAATAAAATACCAATATTAACATGGGTAAAGTTCAATGAATTCACTGAAATGAAAGTAATAGGGTGTAAAAAATATCTACAGTTATTAAAAGAGAACTGGGAATTGAATATACTAGCCTATAACCTAATATTTTTAGCTATACCTTTCTGTAACGGCTGGAAGTACAAAAAACATCCAGGCATGGATTCCAATGACTAGAATAAACTGGAATATTATCTTCCCACCGATGAACTTGCGAAGATACAGAGTTCTGTCAATGATGATGAGAGCAAACTGTAGAATCAACATGACCAAGAAGGCAATCGGAACTTTGTTTTCCTCAAAGTATTGAGACACTCCACCATCCCCTTGTTGCGACTGAAACAATAAAATTCATTTAAACAAAATTGTAAACTCTAAAACCACACTGAATTGCCGTTACATTAGACATATATTGAAATTAGTTGAAAATACTCTTTTTTTAATGAAAGTAGAGATGGGCCGATACCAAAAATTGTCGACACCGATACCAATACCGATACCACCAAAGTACTCTCGATACCTATCGATACCGATACTTCCGATACCTATCAAAATAACAGCTGGAATCGAATAAAACATTAATTTTAATATGAACACATTTATTGTCAACGATAAATAAGCAGAATGTCTTTGTTTATATAATTATATTGTTTATTTAAATGTGGATACACATTTTTGTATCCATATTAGTGTGTTATGTTAACAGAGAGTGGGCTAAACTCATTTAAGTTTAGATTTGGATTTGTAACATCCATGGGATTGTCTTCACTTTCATCTTGGCCTAGGCCTATATTCTTCCCCAACTGTTGATTTGTTCAATTTCCTCTGGGAAAATTCACGTTGATGGTGAAGTTTCAGATGTTTATTGAGGTTAGAAGTCGTACAAGACTTAAGCTATCTTTTTGCACAGTTTACATTTTGCCACATCACTACTTTCACTAATAATATTCAAAAAGGCCCACACATCACTTTGACGCTTACTCATATTAAATAAAAATCATAAAATCATTCATTAACTAAAATCAAAAGAAATTCAATTAGAACCAATGTGAAACACTGGCACTCGGTGCGGCGTTCAACAACAAACCAAGTTTCAATGTCGCTAAAACATAGCACTTGATTGGTTGATCGTCATCGCAGGGCAGTAGGTGAGCCAATGAGATTGTGTCTATTAAAATGCCAAGGACACTAACGCTTGCAGTGGTGAACAACCAAACCAAGTATCCACGTTGCTGTCACATTACACGTGATTGGCCAAACATCGTCTCTGGATGGAAAACTAGCCAATGAGGTCGTGTCTATCAAAGTCGCAGTGGTGATCAACCAAACCTAATATCAACCCTGGAGTTGAAAACTAGCCAATAAGGTTGTCTTTACTAAGTAGGCAAACAGCTAGGATTCATAAGATAACGGCAATTTACCCGCTCTGAACTGACTCAATCCGCACCGATTCGTACCGTTCAGTGTCAGTATCAGTAACGAACTCAAAACAGGCAAGTATCGAGTATCGACGATACCTCGATACCGCTGGTATCGAGAGTATTTTGGTATCGAATATCGGTATCGGCCCACCTCTAAATGAAAGATATTCGTAGCTTGGCAGTTTAACCATTTCATTGTTCTATAAGAATTTAAACAACAATCTTATTACAATATGATTGTTTAAAGCATTATCTCTCAACTGATACCAGACTTGAGAAACAGAGGAGTATGCATATTTTAGTAGAAACAACTTCAAGTCAAAAAGACTAACAACTAGGGGTCTGCGGTGCACCAAGTCAGTAAGGTATGGTACAAGCTTAGCTTACTATAGCATTTTACACGGTACAAATTCAGCCTATTACAATAATAATTTACTTTCAGTTTTACTATCATAGTGTAAGGGTTTTATTTTTAGAAGGACGTTATTTTAAATTCGAAAGACGATTTTATTTTATTTAGAATACGATTTTATTTTATTTAGAAGGAAATGTTATTCTACTTAAGGAGATAGTTTTTATTTTTGTAAATATAAATATAATTTGAACCAGAAGGTATATTTATTATTTCGCCGAGTATAAATACGTAATTTAAATCAATAGAATATTTTGTGTTTAAAGCCGAGGCGGGCTTTGTTGTCGTCAAGTCGTATCAGTGGTTAGGAGCGATAAGGCGCGGACGAGCACGCACCGTCGAGTTACCCGTCCAAGCGCGTTGCAACCTGCACTCGCGACCTTTGCACTGATATCTGGAAAATTCCTACCGTCACAGGAGCGTATATAAAGGGCTCTGGGTACGGTGGTAAGAGAGTCAGGACCCAGCACTCGTACGGTGCGGGTTAGGCGAGTGTAGCAGTACATGCTGCACCGCTAACACGGAGTAAGGTAAGTTTAGGGAAACGTGTGCAATAGTATATTTCATTTCATTTATTTCCCACGGTTAAACCAATTTTACAAATTTGTCTACATCAAGATGATAATAAACAATAACAATAATAACAATTTACAATTCTAAAATGCATAGCAAAACAACCATAACAATATAATATTCAATGCAGTAGCAACAAATATAAATAGAAAATTGGAAATTACATAACAATAACATGACTGTATCAGCACTTGTAACTTTTGGTTGTGAATCAATCATTATTTACTTAAGTATTTACAGGTAATTTACAAGTTTAATAAGCAAGCACAAAAAAAAAAAAACATTGATAATTATTCAATACAATAGCAACAGATAATAAAGAGGATACTCAAAGATAACATAATTATTTACAGCATTATATTACATGATTAAAAATACAGTAGCAGAACAGATGGCACCAATAATAAGTAGGAGAAGTGTGTTTGGAGGAAAAGTGAACACACTACATTATGTTGAAAGAAAACTATGAAAAGTGAGGAGACCATGCCCCCACTAAAAAAAAACACAAACACTTAGATGTGGCCCTTTAACGCAGCCACCAAACACCCAGCACTACACAGAAGCTCAATTCCACCACCAACGGACCCAGCCACTTCGTACTGTACTTGAAGAAGACTCTCCATCTATCACTGCTCCAAGTAGAGGACTGAGCGTCTAAACGTACCCAAGGAGTCCGAGAAGAAATCCACCAGATTGCAGACCTCGTTACCAGCTCTCAGCATTCTAGGAATAGGACTATGACGAAGGTAGTTAGTGCTTCTGAGTTTCAGCTCAAAAAGGCATTGTGCTCTGGTAGGTGAAGGGGTCCTGAAGTTGACCAGATGAAGTAGGTAGGGGCAATCAGTAACTCCATTTATCAGCTTATAGAGAAATACCAAATCAGCAATCAGGCGTCTAGAAGACAGAGACGGTAAACTTAGGTTGATTTCGAGCTCGGCAATAGGAACCTCTCTGTAGGCATAGCCATTCTTCTCTCCCAGTATTCTTATGAATCTTCTCTGTATTGACTGAAGCTTATCAATTTGTCCCAGCTGATATGGAGACCATATCGAGGAAGCATATTCCAGGATCGGTCTAACTAATGACTTGTATAACAATGTCATAGTCCGGGTGTTGAGGCCGAATTTTCCCAGCCTAAAGACCAAACCCATCATCCTTGATGCTCTTAAACAAATACCATCAATGTGAGTACTGAAGTTCAGAGAGGAATCCATATACACACCAAGATCTCTCACAATATTGCACCTTTCAATGAGATCACCACCCAAGTACAGGTCCTTGGCAATTGGAGATTTTGTTCGATGAAAAGTAATGTGCTTGGACTTGGAAGGATTTATTTCCATCAGGTTTGAATCACACCAATTGGAGAGTTGGTGGAGCAAAGCCTGCAGCAAACGAAAGTCATCATCTGTTCTTATTGTCTGGTATAGCTTGACATCATCAGCAAACAATGAATATCTAACGCTCAAGTTTTTACCAATGTCGTTGATGAACAGCAAAAATAAGAGTGGTCCTAGCAGTGAGCCTTGAGGAACACCTGACGTGGCAATAAAGGAAGCTGACACGTTAGAGCCATATTTTACACTACAGCTAAAGTCCGATTCGGTAAGTAACTACCGAACCACTGCCACAGATTCCCAACAATTCCATAACCCTGCAACTTGGCAAGAAGGTAGCTATGGCTGACCTTGTCAAAGGCTTTAGCGAAATCAACGTATATAGCATCCACCTGATTTCCAACGCTAAATGCTTCCAAAATGTAGTCCTGGAAAACCAGTAAATTAGAGATTGTAGATCTGCCCAATGTAAATCCATGTTGCTCTTCCACGACCACTTGCCTAAAACAGGGCTTGATAAAATCCAGCACCAGACCTTCAAAAACTTTACCCACTGCTGATTGGATGACAATGGGTCGGTAATTCCTGACGTTAGAGGGATTGCCCAACTTTAGGATGGGTACAACATAGCTGTGTTTAAGTAATGGTGGAAAGCAGCCGCCAGATAATGAAGCATTGAATAATTTAACAAGAACAGGAGCAAGCTGACTGCTGCAATGCTTAAGAACCGCTGGTGTTATATTTATTATGTTATTGCTATATATTGCACCGTACGATATTAAAGCGAACGGTAGGGAAGAGCGTGCAATAGTTATATATTGCACCGCACGGGGTTTAGAATAGGCGTTAGGGATTTCGGCCCATGTTTATTTTACCCATCGACGATATTCGGTCATCGGGGCACTAATCTAAGCGAATGGTAGGGAAACGTGTGCAATAGTTATATATTGCACCGCTCGGGGTTACAATAGGCGTTGGGGATTTCGGCCCGCGTTTATTTTACCCATCGACGATATTCGGCCATCGGGGCACTAATTTAAGCGAACGGTAGGGAAACGTGTGCAATAGTATATACTAGGTGAAACCCGTCGAAATCGACGGTCACTGTCAAGGCTTACGCTAATTATTCATCGACAGAAAGTAAGGTGTAGTGGAATATACTTGAAGTGAAGTTGGCTTTTACTCTTGAACTGTTAGGGACCTCCTCGTTTATATGGTTGTGCGGCTTCATTGGCAACAAATAATTCAAATTACATAACAATGCGGCATTTGGCAAAAGCAATAAATACTGTAAATTGGCTGTTACATAAATATTGACGTTTACATGCATTGTTAAACAACGTATCTTATAAAGGATGATGTGATCTAGTTTAGAAGGAATATGACCTTTCTGTCATGAAAGTAGCTGCTTAAATAGTATTTACTCTTTGTGTATTTTTTACAGCCAAAATATTGTGGTTTTTTAAATCATGTTAACAACCCAGTGAGCCACGGTCCGTAATATAGACCACTTCAAATAATTTGTCAAGATAGGTACCATTTTAGGCCAGGTTTCTGTGTTTGGGTGTTATTACACACGATAAACTTCTTCTGCAGATAAATAATCTCCTGGAGAAATATAGGGCCTAAGCCAAATTATAAATGTCACAATGTGAGTTTGAGCATTTTGTAACTATATGGGTAAGTTACATAGTATTTTCGAGACTGCTGCTCAGTGCACTTTAAGAATTTATTATTAGACTCAAACTCAAATATCTTTATTTATTTGACAGTCGTTATAACTGCATAATAGCATCAACAAAATTTCTCTTACAAATAAAAACAATATTTCTTATAAATAAAATCTAAAAACTAAAAATCATTGATTTCTTAAGAAGTCTTCTACACTGTAACAACAGCGTGACAAAAGAAGACTCTTAACCCCTTTGCCAAATTTGTCCACACTATTTTCCATCTTCAGGGGAGCGGGCAGTGCATTGAACAGTTGAATGCCATTGCAAAATAAATGATTTTCAAAAAACGCAGTTTTGTGCTTTGGAATATCCAAATCGGACCGGCTTCTCAAACCATAGGAGATAGGGCGAGACTGATTTTGAAAAAGGTTGAAGTTTTTCTTAACAAATAGAGGTAAATTTAATGGTTTTTGTTGCTGAGTAGCGTTAGTAAACATGCACAACCCATTTCGTTATTCTAATAACATTCAAAGGCTCCCTAAGAGTTCAAATTGCAGTTTTACAGCTTAATGACTTTCTAAATCATGCGCATATTTCTACACAAATATTGTAAAATGTTTTATTCAGTTGCTGTAAACTACTATTAATTTAGCAAAATGGACACTGCTCAAATGGGCAACGTGCCCTTCTGCACTTGTTTAATTTTGTATTGTATTACGCAATCGAAGATTTTTCCAATGATTGAAAACATGTATAACAATAATCTCGTGAACCTATGATGATCTGTTGAATAATATGATAAAATATAGGCAAATGTGGGGGAAAAGGCAGACAACAACCCGTACAGCAGATATAAGATAGTTCAATAAGAAATTATTGTAAGAGTTTTGTGATAAAAGGAATTTCCACTGATTTCGTAATGGAATGTTATATTGCAAAACATTACATGATACAGAAGAAAATAAATTTTAAAATCAGAAAATAGCATTGCAAATACTTCTTTTGGACAATTTAGTAACTCCCAATAAATGTGTGTTGTTTAAAAACACAATTGAAAAATCAACAGCTGTTTCATTAAAAAGTATTATCCACATGGCCAAAATGTAAACAAATTTGTCGAGGTATCTTTAAAGGCTTCTGGGGCAGAGCCCTAAGGGAATTTACTTCATGTTTCTTTTGATAACTCATCTACAGACCAAGGCCTTTCTTTGGAGACCTCTACCAAGTTTCTACGTCCAGCCGTTCTCTCAAATTAGTGGAGACAAAGTTTCTAATTAAATATTTAGATTTCCCCATGTTAATCTTATGGGAGAAAACCCAACTTTGATGGAAGATCCTGCCCAAACTAATAAAGATTTCAAAAAACCAAAAACACTTTGCAAAACTACAGATCAGGGCCATTTTTTTGACACTTTAATCATCAAAATCGGTCCAAAAATGTGGGAGGAGTTCTGTTTACAAAAATCGGCTTAGCGTATTATATATATAGATTGCACCGTACGGTTAGGTTGCGTGTGCAATAGTTATATATTGCACCGCTCGGGGTTAGAATAGGCGTTAGGGATTTCGGCCCGCGTCCATATTTTACCCTACGACGACTTTCGGCCATCGAGGCATTATCCGGCTCGAAGGACCAAATTTATTCCCGATCGATTGCTAGGTCTGTGATAGCTGTGATGAAAAGAGTTGTATTGGAGTAAACTTTTGCTTGACTCGCACTCATTTCTGAGCTTAGACGTAGTAATAACGTTAAATCGAACCTTGGACGAAATTACCCAGGCTTCGACTGTTTATCCGGCAAACTTTATTTGTGAGGTACGTTTTTTTGACACCCCGGTAATTTTAACCTCACAATAGTCAACGGACAGTTGGTTCCGAGCACATAAAAGTCTTATCAGATATTTGTTTAAAATCTTCATAATTTATTACTAGGGTGATGATGCAATAAAAAACCCATTAGCAGTCCCAAATCCATTAATATTTTATCACGACAACAATTGTTGTATTCAAGTACTTCCAAGAACTGTTGAGTTTTATCACTTTTATTTCTTTACGACTTCCCCCAATTCTATTTTATCATAAAAATATTAGTTTTATGATGACTGTTAAATGTTATCTCTAACTCATTCAGTATTTTCGTGAATATTCAATTTGCGCTGACCATTGCCTACTGTCATAAAACTGTTTATGGCTACATATTAAACTTGTAACTAATCTAGAATCTTATTTTATAAGTTAAAATATTTGTTATAGATATTTTATCTTTCTATTGGCGAAACCACAAGCATAGTTGTTGTTTTTTGCATATTTCTTTTCTTGTTTTTTGCATATTTCTTTTCGTTATGCAAGCCTACTCGGTCTCAAATTATGTCATTGCATGTTCTGTATCTTGTCTTACATTGTTAGATGTGCCTGTTTAAGGCCTAAATGTTTTTTATTTTTCTGTATTTTTTATTGTGTTGAAGGTACTTTTTATGCAATCTAAATCTTATGAACTAGATAGTGATTATGCTACTCTCATTGTAATCAAGGCCCTCCTAAATAATTAGGTCTAGGCCTGGGTCTTTTGATTCTTTGGAAGAGCTTTAAAATATACTAAGAAAATTGGATTGAACCTGAGATAAACTAATGATTGATATGTGTGGATGTTAACTTTGTAAATGAAAAGACAATAATCTTACTCTGTGATAATCCAAATTTTAGTTTAAGAAAAAAACTTTGCAAGAGTTGTATCCATCTTATAATTAGTTTTAAAGCTGAAAAAAATGCTCTTTGCCTTTACTTCATCATAACCTCCAGTTTTTTATTGTCGTCTGCTGTGAACAGCTGGCAATTACACTGTCTTCGTACTGAATGTTTTTATATGTTTTTGAAAATTTAAAAAAACAACTAGACATTGTGTTGGTTAGAAATAATTTACCAGTTGTGTGAAATTATCTTATCAATATATGTTTCAAACATGTTTAATCCTAAAAACTCTTATCCTAATTTTAAAACCACTTTATCATGGCTATTCACAGTATCTCGGAGTAAAATAGGTACCAAAGCCTTTATCTTAACTGTGATTTTTCTTGACACAATCCTCTTAGTAGTAAAAGGTTTTGTTTTAATAATGTGTGGTACAGTAGTTATTGTTCGAAAACCAAGAATGTAGGATACTATCCATTTTCATAGCAATGTCAATGTATTAAAGTTAAAAATAATGGTATAAATACAGTTCTGAGAAGAAAACCGCAAAAATACGGGTAGCCGCGTACCGTACCGATTTTGTACCGAGAACCGAGGTACAAAATATTGTACCGTACCGAACCATACCGACCTTAAATTTTCTGTACCGCAGACCCCTACTAACAACACTAAAATCAATGTTGCTTGAACAATAATCTTACTATATTCATTGATTTGGTTCTTTCCCTTGTCGAACCAGAAGAAAAATTCCATCCTCCTACAAAAAAATAGGAAGGAAATATTGTCCGCTACTTTAAAATCAAATAGTATAGTAAAAAATAAAGCCGCTTCAATGTTTAAAAGAAATTAAAAACATCATAGATAGTGTATTGTTCCATTAGTCCACAGTAAAAGTACTGGGGGTTTTTGGTAACAAACTACTATGTTGATCAAAGCTAATTGGATACTCACTCCAAAGGATGCAAATCCAAAAATGACGACCAGGAAATTGAAGAAATCACAGAAGAACATGTAAGCGTAAACATCTGCTGTAACTCGTACGCTGGGCATCAACAGCGTCATAAAGAACCCCTTGGCAGGGCTCAGGTACTTCTCAGCTCTACAACACATGATATACCTCAGTTTGACCTCTAAAATTATGATAATGTTTGTCTGAACAAAATTATGATAAAAATACATAAAATAAATAAACACTTAGATCTAAAAAAAATGATACCATGTAAATAACGGAAACATACAGAGCTTTCTGGAGCGCACAGAGATTTAGATGTGTATACAATTTAAACAAAATTCCCTATCAAAATTGAAAATATTGAGGATTAATTTTGCGCCCCTTGGTATGCCATTAGGGTGAGGCCTATTGGTAGATTCAGTAAATTCACCCTGGGTATACTTGCATAATATCTTATAGGACCATACCTTAAGTATCTTATATTACCATATAACGATGAGATTAGCGTATGCACAAAAAAATAACGCATGAGATTATTGACAAGATAGTATTTACTCACGTGAGAGGTATGATGCCTGGGAAGTACTCGCAGTTGTCCACAGCATGAGTGTCGGACTTGTGGTGAATATCGGAGGGAGACGTAGGACTGCTGCTGTACGTAGTGGACTCAGTGGTAGACGTCACCTCGGGTGGCATCTTGCCTACATCCTCCACCGTCTTCCACAGCCCCAGTGACTTCAGCATCGACCTGCGTAGAGACAAACTCAGTAACCTACTGACAAGGGCTTGTAGAACAAGTATAGCAAATAATTGTTTTTAATTTTTAATGAAACAGCAATAATATATTGATATTTTAGCAAATGATAAATAAGAACTTTTTTTATTTTATATTGAATAGTTACAACAACCAACAATCCATGGAGGCTTACAATAGCATGTGACCTTAAGGTTAATCAAATATTTCAGAGTTTGCATTTGATTTGAGTCACATACGTTACATTACAGGCACTGGCCATTTATACCTGTGGAAGAAGACGATGAGCAGCAGAAGGAGATCGTATGAAGCATAGTCTTGTTTGCGTTCAATGCCTATGATGCGCGGTGGGAAGAACGGAACATTATCTGCCACAACTTGCTGGTTCCATGGCAGCAGCTCAAACTGGAACATGCTCTTGATGACCACTATCACCTGTAACATAGGAACATAGCCTATGAGAATTCGCTACTAGAGAAAGTGATTATGATTTGATATCCCAAAATAAAGATTAGCCAAAAGTAAATCAACTTACAATTGCAAAAATTGTCGTGCAAACTTTTATATCATTCAGTAAAAGTTAAGAGAATAATTCGGCATTGTTTGGTACAAATCTATTTTATTATTTTATTAAATAAATTAAATTTATATTTCCTTTATACATACGATTTGTAGTCTTAAATAGCTTGTAACGAGTTATTTTTCGTAGGGGGGTAAATATTTGCTATTTGGCCGCGCACCGATTGTTGAGGTAGGCAAGCGGCGGCGGCGAACCTGGCTAGTGCCCTTTGACCCGGCTTATCAGTTCGGATAAGCTTGGGTATCCCGGGACTACTGGATAGCCGAGAAGGACATTCGAGTCGTGGCCTACGGTGAGTGAACAGCTGGTTGGTGATTGTCGAGTGAGACGTGGAGTGCTTTGGTGACATCGGTGTCGTGTGAGATTGGTGCTCAAGGCGTGTTGGTGTCAAGTTGGGTAGTGAGTCAGTGACCCACTTGTGGTGAGTGGACGACTTGATATTATTAGTTTGATAATATTAATATCAGGGGCGGACTGGCCCGCCGGCCCACCGACAACAATGAGCCGAGATGTATTTCTAGAAAGCAAGAGGAAAAACTTAGGAGTAATAGTTTCAGCAGTGAATAGCAAAACATAAGTCGGGTGTGGTGAGACCTGCACCTGAATAGACACTGTCGACAAGCGAGAGCAAAGCAACTGTTCTCTCTCGTACGTGTAGGCATACTCCGAGTGAATGGCACTTTGCTCTGTGGTCGAGCGACTTAAAAACAGCTGTCCGCTTCCCGCGTAATTTTACGCCGAACCCGAAATAACTGCACTGCAACCGGCATCTGTCGGCGTCACGGTGTCGTCTGTTGTAAACAACTAGTGAAGAGTGTGAGCTGCCAATTAATGTGTCTCTGCTTAGTGTCTGATTTGTGTCTCTGTGTCGAAAGCTTCAGTTTAGTTTTATATTCATTACCTACACAGGATACATGAACGTAAGTAGTATTGTAGAATCACTACTCTTACAAAATTTAAACTAGATTTAGTGTATTATTTGTAGACTTAACCATTACACAGTGAAGGTTAAACAGTATTTTAATATGTTGCTACCGCCTATTAATTGATGATTTTAATATGCACTATGGCACTAATTGGGTAAACTTTCATATTTTTACGTTCAGATAGCCAGCCCTAAATATCTTCGTAGTTCTATCTAGGCTATAATTTCATATCGTTTGTAAAAATAGGTTAGGTAAGCCTACCCTATTTTCGTGTATTTGTAGACTTTACAATTACATTATAGGAGTTAAACAGTATTTTATTTGTGGCTAAGGCCTATTAATTAATGATTTAAATAGGCTCTATATGAACTATGAATTGGATCAAACTTGTTATATTTTGGTACACTTAGCCAGCCAAAAATATCTTCCCAGTTCTATCTAGAATATAGTTCCTTTTCGTTTGTAGAAATAGGTTAGGTAGGCCTACTTCACTGACGAAAATATCCTGAACTTTAAATTGTTTTTAAATAACAATTTAAAACATCACCTTTATTTGTAAGTTAGGCCAAGTAACTTATTTCTTTAGTTATACTAAAGCCTTGATAGTGCTAATTGCCCCTGGTGCTTGCCCTACCAATACCTTTTATGCATTACACTTACGCATTTTGATTAGTGAAATAAAATAATTTGAAGACCTAATGTTATTTTTGAGATAAAAAATATCAGCGATCTTTTATTTTTTAGCCTTTGGTAAAACAAGTCTCAGAAGCCACTTTATATTTGCTTAGCAGGTAAGGTTTATTAAATATTTATTGGGCTTACCGTATTAACCTTCATTCTTGCGAATGTTCGTTTCGTCCCAGCAAATAAGTTATTGATGGTGTTCAAACTTATTGTGGAATGTTCTGGATACTTAGTGCATAAACAAGTTTGAATAGTTTTCTCTTACCGCAGGCCTATGGATCTTAATTATGTTACAATTAGTAATTCAAGTTGAAAATGGGCACTGAACTGGCGGCTAGTGATTGGTCCAGTTTAGCGTAGCCTTCAACTGTGCCAATGACAGAGATGACATATTGGGATGACAATGTGATTGACAGATTTCATATTGGGAGGAGCTTGTTAAACTCTCCCAATATGAAATTGACCACTTCAGCCGTCATATAGATTGTCAAAAACTCCCGTTTTGTTGAAGTAAAATTTTTCCTCCAAGCTATATTATCTGTTTAAGCGTTGATTGTAAACTCGATTTATCATTTATTATTGATTTAACACTGGTAGTAAATGTATTTTTTCATTATTACAGCTAGTAATCAATTGAGTCAGTCATTTATGCTTTTTCATTATGTCTTTCATTGGCTAGTTTGATTATGTACCGTTGAATATATATCTATCAATCTTCACCAATTTACTTAAAAAAAAGTAACGCGCAATTGGTTTTAACAGCACACAAAATCAACCTACGTAAAATGTATCTGTATTAGAGCTATCAATATAAGTTGTTACAGATATTTGTTGGATTGATATGGATGACAAACCAAGAAAAAAGCGGAAGTCCGGCCATGAGTATAAAAAAGAGAAAGAGGCTTCTCAGCGGAAAGAGGCTGCATCATCTTGCACAAAACTTACATCATTTTGGGTCCAGACTTCTCAAAGGAAGCCTAATGAAAATGAAGAAAACTGTCCAACTCCAACTGTCGTCACCATCAGTGATGAAACGTCAGTTGCAATGTCCAACATTTTGACTATTGATGACCATGATGAAAATGAAGAAAACTGTCCAACTCCAACTGTTGTCACCATCAAAGATAAAACCTCAGTTGCAGCTTCCAACATTTTGACTATTGATGACCATGATGAAAATGAAGAAAACTGTCCAACTCCAACTGTTGTCACCATCAAAGATAAAACCTCAGTTGCAGCTTCCAACATTTTGACTATTGATGACCATGATGACAATGAAGAGTCCGAGAAAGCAGATTCTCACATTACTTCAACTCAAATAGTTGCCACTCCTAGTCAAGACGATGAATGCAATGCATTAAATTTTTTCCAAAAGCCCACACCAAGAGATGTCAGTGCCTTTTTTAAGTATCATCCACAACCACTTACAGAAGATGAAAACTCATCACCTTTGCCATTTGACAAATGCGTATATAAGTTTAAAAGCAATTCTAATGAATGGTTCAAACGCAATTGGCTCTCATACAATCAAAAAGATAAAAAGTTGTATTGTAGTGTATGTCTGGCTTTCTCTGACAATTCCTCTATATTCTGTAAAGGATTTGACAGGTATAGACATGTAATGCAGACAGTAGGAGAACATGAGAAGTCCAAGTCTCATTTAGAGTCTGTAAAATGTTTTGTAGCCCATAATCAAAAAAGGTCTATAGATTTTTTGTTGTTTGAAAAACAGTTGGATAAACGAAAACATGAAGTGGCCGAAAGAAGAAATGTTTTGAATGGAGTCACTGACGTGATTAAGTTGATTGGTAAACAGGGCCTTGCTTTGAGAGGTAAAAGGCACGAAGAAGGTTATAGCCTTGGTAATCCCTCTTTAAATCATGGAAACTTTCTAGAAATTTTTCTTTTACTTTCTAACTATGATGATTCATTAGGAAAACATGTTAAAAATGTTATCAGTACAAGTACCGCTGCTTTAGAGAAGAGGCAAAACAAAAGGGAAAAAGAAAAAGATAAAGAAAGAGAAAAAGGGAGAAAGGGAGAAAGACAAAGAGGTGGAAGAGGGAGTCAAACAACATTTTTAAGTAAGACTACAGTAATGAATATTGTTTCAATTATCAAAGAAATTATGGTAGCTGACCTCGTGAAGGAAATAAAGCAATCTGTAATCTTTTCTGTTCTCATGGATACAACCATAGACGTATCAGGGTATGACCAATGTGCAATTGTATTGAGGTATGTTAGTGGAAAAGAAGTGAAAGAAAAACTGTTAGGATTGGTCACTGTACAGTCAACTACTGCAGAAGGACTATTACAAACTTTGCTGACTCTGTTGGAGGCTAACGGACTGAATGTAAAGAACTGTGTTGCTGATGCCTTTGATGGAGCATCTAACATGAGTGGAGAGTATAATGGACTTGCCGCTAAATTGAAACAACTGGTTCCCAACCACACACACACATGGTGTTACGCACATGTTTTAAACCTAGTTATGACAGATACTGTTCAATGTTTACCAGTAACCATCTCATTTTTTGGACTTTTACAAGAGACCCAAGTTTTCATAAAGGAATCTTGTAAGAGGCTTAACGTTTACTTGGAGAGAAATCCAAAGATTCGATTGACATCAATTGGAGCAACAAGATGGCGATCAAGAAGTGATGCTGCAACTAAGATTTTTGGGTTCTCTTCTTGTTGGTTCTCAGATGATGGAACAGAAAACAAAGATATGACAAAAGTGGTTTATCCTGACCTCGTTATCGCTCTCTGTATAATCAGCAATTCATCTGAATTCAATCCAAAGACTAGAAATGAGGCCAACGCACTTCTGTCAAAGTTCCTTTCCTATGAAACCATTTTGATTTCTATGACTTTTCTTAAAATCTTCAGTTCCACCACGCCATTGTCGGACTACTTACAAACCCAAAATCTTGACTTCACCCAAGCATGGGCATTAGTTGCCGCAGCACAAAAGTCTTTGGGAAAACATCGTAACGAGTTTGAATTTGAAAATGTTAAGAAGGCTGCTGACAGATTTGTGTCTTACGTGACTGCATCCATCGACAAAAAGTTAGATGAAGACCCTTCTTTAGATGCAGACAAACTGTGCATTGAGACAGAATTGCCCAAAAAAAGGAAACGAACCGCCAAGAGAGTACATGGTGACTCAACTGAAGATGCCTTTGTCAAATCAACTGAAGAAGACCAGTTCAGGATAAAAGTTTATAATGTAATAATGGACAAAA